TCTAGCAAATCCCCAAAAAATTCCCACAAAGGTTAAAATAAGAATATAACGAACCTGACTATTGGCAAAGTTTGACTGTCATTTGCATTGCAATTATTGTTTTAAATAGTTAGTTATGGCACAGCAAATTCTTATTTGTTTTATAGTGTGTCAATTTGGAAGCTTGTTTCTGCTATGGAATAAAGTTCTGTCACTTTTTATCTCACAATTATGACTTTATAACTCGGTTTATATCTCACAAGTGCGAGTTGTAAAGTCAGAATTGTGAGCTAAACGGTTGCAATTACCTTTAATATTTCCATAAGTAACAGGCCTGGGACTCTTTCTGCAGAGTCATTGAGTTTGTTAAAGTCCCCCTTGTGGTGAAAATCCAGCTTATAATGTTGTTTATATGTCTATGTGGTGTTTTTAATATGCTTTAAGACAAACCATGTGTAAATTCATAAGTCAACAGCATTGCTGAGTATTTTCTGCTTAAAACTGCAGTGAACCAAAGACAGTCTCAAAAACACGGTTTGAAATCGCTGGTGTTTCTGACGTCACAAACGACCTTGTAACCAATCAGATCAACGTGTGATCGTCAACCAGTGGATCTCTGAGCTGAGTGAGTGAGTGGAGGCGGGGCTCATTTGCATATTCATAGAACCGCGCATACTAAATGAGGCAAGGGTGTCGAGTTACATTCAAGATATTTGAAAAAAACATGTCATTTTGGTGATCAAAGGTGAGTTTTAAGTGATAAAATTATTGACTGCAGGAGGACTTTTAACATTTTTTTTTTTTTTTAAATAGGGTTGTCCGTGTTTGAGAATGTGTTGTGGGTGTCTGGGATGACTGTGAGATTTCCCGGCCGGAAATGTTGTCCCAGTCCGCCTCTGCTCACAGCATGGCTGATATGTGGAACAACAGTACTCGCAATTACTTTAAAATTGTTAATTTCTACCAGCCTTCTTTGGAAAGCTGCTGTATAGATATTAAGGTGTCAAAAACAGGTCAGTTCTCACCACAGTTCTGGAAAATGCGGAAACAACACAGCAATGGTGTCAGTCCAGACAGTTTTATTTATTCAGTAGCAAAAGATCTTACAAATGAATGTTTGTTCACTACTCATGCAACAAAAATAACAAATATATTATTATATGTGTATTGTATACACATTTTATTTCCGTAATTACATTTTAATTTAATTAAGTCTGCTACTCTGCTAAAATATCATTTTTAATCGCTTTTTTTATCATCTTTGAGATCATAATTCTGTAAGTGGTTTGATCGTTTAACACACTCGCAGTGAGGACAGATGGCATTCGTGTCTGAGATTATGGTACCTAAATACATCTTTACATAAATCAAACTCAAGAGAATCAGTGATTGATAACAAGCCTGTCGCTCGTCAGCAGGACGGGAACCCATGCAAGCAGACGCTGTGAAGTGACTGAGTGTTTTAAGCACTTCTTTTATGGTGTCAAGAATAATTATGAAACAGCATCTTCTCACAGGACAAGGCTGCATGAATCCCATAGATGTAACAATATTGACTTCAAACGTGGAAGCAGAAATCAGCAAAAAAATCAGTAAATTATCCACTACACTCTTAAAAATAAAGGTTTTAAAAAGATTTTTCTTGCAATGCCATAGAAGAACCATTTTTGTTTCCTTAAAGAACCTTTAATTGCATTGTTTTAATGAAACAGTTCTTAAAGTCTCCCTGTAGCCAATCATTATATCCCTTAAAACTAATCTTTGATCACCAATATTACATATTTGAATGTTTTTTTCCTTGAAAAAAAATCTTCATGCCTTAAAATAGCTTGAATGTAACCCGACACCCCTGCCTCATTTAGTATGCGCGGTTCTATGAATATGCAAATGAGCCCCGCCTCCACTCACTCACTCAGCTCAGAGATCCACTGGTTGACGATCACACGTTGATCTGATTGGTTACAAGGTCGTTTGTGACGTCAGAAACACCAGCGATTTCAAACCGTGTGTTTGAGACTGTCTTTGGTTCACTGCAGTTTTAAGCAGAAAATACTCAGCAATGATGTCGACTTATGAACTTACACATGGTGTGTCTTAAAGCATATTAAAAACACCACATAGACACATAAACAACATTAAAAGCTGGATTTTCACCACAGGGGGACTTAAATAAGAAGCATTTTTCTTAGTGTGAAGAACATTTTTAAAATTCTAAAGCAACTTTTTTCACTATTAAGAACCTTTTGTGCAATGGAAATTTTCCATGGATATTAAAGATATTTATTTTAAACTTTATTTTTAATAGTCTATACAATATAATGTTATGATTATCTTCCACCATGTGCAGAATTTAGCTTACATATTTTTTTAAAGTCCCCCTGTGGTGTAAATCCAGCATTTAATGTTGTTTATGTGTCTATGTGGTGTTTTTAATATGCTTTATGACAAACCATGTGTAAGTTCATAAGTCGACAGCATTGCTGAGTATTTTCTGCTTAAAACTGCAGTGAACCAAAGACAGTCTCAAAAACACGGTTTGAAATCGCTGGTGTTTCTGACGTCACAAACGACCTTGTAACCAATCAGATCAACGTGTGATCGTCAACCAGTGGATCTCTGAGCTGAGTGAGTGAGTGGAGGCGGGGCTCATTTGCATATTCATAGAACCGCGCATACTAAATGAGGCAAGGGTGTCGAGTTACATTCAAGATATTTTAAAGCATGAAGACAATTTTTTCAAGTAATAAGTGCTTAAATATGTAATTTTGGAGATCAAAGATGAGTTTTAAGGGATACAATGATTGGCTACAGGGGGACTTTAACATTGAAAAATTGCGAGTGTTCAATTTAAAAATAACCTAAACAATACATTAGCATTAGCTATTTGTCCAATTTAAATGTGACATTCAAAGAAATTGAATTCATTACATATGCTGAATGATCTGAACAACTGATTCTCATTCTTGCACTGATTCTATAGCCTCCATCAGCCTGCAAACAAACATGCAGCGGCCGCAACTTTACTATGGATTTGCTTGCTAACCTGGATATTTTTCAGTAAAAATGATCAGAACACTTTCATCTCGTCGCGTGTGAACTTGCCTGATGCTTTACACAATGAAATGAGTCGTAATGTTCTGCCATTGCACTGAATTCACCATGAAAATGCATTTTCATTTACCAATCAAATCCTGAAATAAGAATGCGTGTAATCGAACAGCTGGTCGACTGAAATAAGGGCCGTAGCGTGAGAAAGAGAGACAGTGGGTAGAGATGAGAGAGTGAGTGAAGATATAATCCTCCTATGATCCTCTTTCCCACCCCTCCACCCTCCCGGGTTGCAGACGGGCTCGTGTCACTCACACAGCTCGTTGCGTTCAGAAACACTCTTACTACAGTTCACCAGTGCTTCTTTAAAGGGCTTTCCCAGAGGCTTGTGTGCGATTGAGAATATAGGTTTGTAGGCTGGAAATGATCGATGCGCACGCATGAGTGAGTGCAATGGAAATGCAGAGAGAGAGAGAGAGAGGTTAAACACTGGTGTCACTGACTCGACTGAAGCTAATCGTACTGGACAAGCCCAATGTTCAAAGCCCTGGAGCTCAGAGAAGCAAAACTCACTCTGCATTTACAAGGAAAACACTACAGGCCTCGTGTCATGATAACCAGACTGCATGAATCCCAGGAAATTAGTAGACACGCTTTGTGTGCGAATAACAGGAATCGTGATACGGCTTAATGTGATTCAGAAGGCATCGTTCAGTGAATAAATATGAGCGTTGCATGTTCAGATTGAAAATGTAGTGCTGTTGCACATTCAAAGCAATTTATAATCAATGAATACCGGCCATTTATGCCAAAAGATTATATATGATCTACTGTTGATGAATTATGACGTTGTTTATTTTATGGTGTGTATATTATAATATGTTGCAGATGTTTGTATCTTTTTAAATGAGCAGCCGGTAATAGTAAAGCATAGACATTTCAAAATAAGAGTCCCGGTATATTTTGGGCTTGTTTTATACATATTTAAATGTGTTTTCCTTGGAAATTAGCTTAAAATAGCTTGAATGTAACTCGACACCCTTGCCTCATTTAGTATGCGCGGTTCTATGAATATGCAAATGAGCCCCGCCTCCACTCACTCCCTCAGCTCAGAGATCCACTGGTTGATGATCACACGTTGATCTGATTGGTTACAAGGTCGTTTGTGACGTCAGAAACACCAGCGATTTCAAACCGTGTTTTTGAGACTGTCTTTGGTTCACTGCAGTTTTAAGCAGAAAATACTCAGCAATGCTGTCGACTTATGAATTATATGCTTATAATATAATATGTTACAGATGGATGTATCTTTTTAAATGAGCAGCCGCCAATAATAAAGCATAGACATTTCAAAATAAGAGTCCCGGTATATTTTGGGCTTGTTTTATAGCTACTATTGGTAATTCGGTTACTGTATCTGGCATTTAATTCAATGTTTAAAATATGCATAATTCCATAATTCTTAAATAAATACAGTTTTAAGTATTTTGTCCACTTTGAAGTATTTTTGAGAAAAAGTCTTCGTTAAAGCATTATAATACATTATAAGCCGACCGATCAGAAATGAGGTAAAGCATAACTTTACCAATTTTGATTTGAACCAAACAAACACATGTGAGATTACCAGGGTCGTTTTCTAAAGAGACAGATCTGAGGAGCAAAGGACTTCAGCACAAGTATCCATTTGATCTCCTCTTAATCTCATTGCAGACTGTTTAGTTTAGGGCATTTAAATGTGCAGTTCTGGACCAGGTTTGAAATCTAGCTCTCGGAGATGCGATCGAGCTACACAACAGGGCAAATGAAGCGCACACAAAGACATGAGCAATATGGACACAAGCACCTTTGGTGGAGAAATTTGCCTTTGTGCTCATGTAATTCCACTTTAATTCACTCATCTAATCTCAATTAGCAGAAACTAATCCCACGACACACAGCCAATGAGGAGTCAGAAGAGACGTCACAATACTCACCAAATCATGATTAGTTGAGTTGGAATCGTCTTCAGGGAAGGGGATGTAAACAGCTAAGGCCACACAGTTGGCAAAAATCGACAGCAGTATAAAGATATCAAAAGGTCTGGAAGAAACAGGTTTAAGGAGAAATGTCATAACATCAATCATTCCCCAACAGATCCCGCCAAACCAAACTTGATGAAGTGAAACCACAAAGCCGGTTTCTGTCATGTTGGACAACTGTACTCTGTCATGTCAGTCATATTATGTGGCTTTTTGGTCTTAAAGTAGGGATGCACCGAAATGAAAATTTTGATACCGATAATTCTTATATTTCAAAGCCGATAACCGATATTCCCATTTTTATATAATTTTTGAGAGTCAAAAACAAAAGTCTCACCAGTAAAAGCCAAACACACAATTATAATGATGTTCTTATGATAATGTTATGTAGCCGATATGACAGACTTGTATCACTTTACTGTATTTTCCTTTTTTGAAGTGATTCCAATCATATTTCAAGCAATTCAAAACCATCATGATGAACAGTGCGCATCTGTAGCGTCTCAGCTGAAGGAAATAATACATTATTTATCGGCTTTAATATATCGGACAAATGTTCTTATCAGGTCGATAACGATAACATTAAAAATGAACCGATTTTGGCCGATACCGATATGGTGGCCGATATATCGTGCATCTCTAACTTAAAGCTATTGCATGTTAATTATGTGTGACTAGCAATTGTTTCTAAACACTCGGACCAACTAACACTGGTCAGTCGAATTGATGGTCCCGCCCCAAACTCATCAGTTGGCATATCGTCACATGGCGAATTACAAACAGTGTTTTTGCTCCTGAAGGGAAGGGCAGGTGTGCAACTTAACTTAACAAGGCCATTAGCGAAGGGTACATGTTTATGATCACGTGACCCAAGATGTCGAGTTCACGCAATTTTCTTTATAAAGCTGGAGTTCACCCAGGGTATAATTACAGAAAATCTATTTGATTAGTTGGTAACACTTTACTTGAAGGGGAGTGCATAAGACTGACATGACACCTTCATAACAATGACAGGACACATGTTATGAATATGAAGGAGGTTTTATACATGTTTATGACAACTGTCATTAAGTGTCATTCGCTAAATTATGACATTTTTAATGCAAATATGACATTGTTTGAGATGTCTTTGTTATGACACCTTGACATAAGCAAATACATCATAACCTGTCAGTGTCTTTGTTATGAAAACTTGACAATACTAAGACAAGACAACCTGTCATAAACATGACATAGCAGATTGATGATCAAACTTAAGAAACTTAAGCTTTATGGGTTAACATTACATTAAACTGTCAGCTGGTTGGTTTTGACATTGGCTGTCATGAGGCCATTATAACATTTTAATGACAAATTAAATTTGTACCACTGTAGTTATAGAATAAAAATATTCATGACACAGTTATAATGGCCTTATGACAGCCAATGTCAAAACCAACCACATGACAGTTTAATGTAATGTTAACCCATAAAGCTTAAGTTTCTTAAGTTTGATCATTAATCTGCTATGTCATGTTTATGACAGGTTGTCTTGTCTTAGTATTGTCAAGTTGTCATGACAAAGACACTGACAGGTTATGATGTATTGGTTTATGTCAAGTTGTCATAACAAAGACATCTCAAACAATGTCATATTTGCATTAAAAATGTCATAATTGAGCGAATGACACTTAATGACAGTTGTCATAAACATGCATAAAACCTCCTTCATATTCATGACATATGTCCTGTCATGGTTATGAAGGTGTCATGTCAGTCTTATGCACACCCCTTCAAGTAAAGTGTTACCGATTAGTTTTATCATGAATAAAAACATTTTTAGTTTCTAATTAAAAAAAAGTTTCAGAGGCAACAAATGTGTTTTGATACATTACGTAAATCAAGCTTGTCCAAAGAAGAGCTGACAAATGTTATAAATGTGAGAGCTATAAATATGTAGACCTATATAACCAGGGCAATATATTAATATAAAATGAGAGTTGGCGAGAATATGAAACTGTCAATCGTCACGAAAGTTTAAGCCTTGCCAGTTTAAATGAAGATGCGAAATGAAGCTCAATTCATAACTCGCAGCTCCCTGCGTTATTAATGTTAAAAGCACTCACTTCTCTTGACTGAATAACTTTTGTAACTTTAATAAGGATTAATCTATGTTTCATTTATACAGTGAAAACTATGCAGTGTTATTTTACATTTGCTTACTTTATTCCATTTCTGTCCCTGAAAATTAAGACCTACACTGTCTATTTCATTTGTATAATTGTTCTCTTGTATTTATTTGTGCTGTTATTTTATAATTTGATTATTTGTTCTTATTTTATTACTGACTGTTACATGTCTTTAATAATGTTTTAGGTTTAATCATTAGTAAGGCTGGTAGTTTTAGCTGTGGTATTGAAGTTGGAATAGAAAATTGTGAATTTTCACTGGTATCTAAAATTTGATAACATTCATAACTCCCTATTTTTGCAAGAATCAGCTTGCAAAAACACGAATTTGCAAAGTGTACTTAGGTGTGACTGAAAATAATGAATTGACATGCATACTTTACTGTTGCAACGATTAATATCATCCAAAATAAAAGTTTGTGTTTACATAATATATGTGTGTGTGTACTGTGAGGGGCGTACAAGCACATTCCTCACATTCTTTCAATTTAAATTCAAAATAACTCACAATTTCATGCATAACCCTTTTAATTCAGCTCAAAATATCTTACATTGGGTGTCTTTGATGACGTCTTGTGGAAAATAATGAATATAACATGATATTTCATGACTCTTGCCACTAGATGGCGGTTATAGCTCTATATGGAGCAGAGGAGCTGTTCCGCTGGGTCCTAAAGTCAATTCCCTCCAGTATGCATTCAGGTAGACAGACATTATAAAGGACTGGATAAAGGACGGATAGTTCCAGTCCTTGATTCTGATTGGTTGAGCCACGTTCGAAGCCGTTGTAAATTACTAACTCGTGCCTAACAACGCCCCTTAGCTGTTCTAAATCCTCTGTAAAACACGGCTTCGCCGGGCTTATTGCTTTATTTGGTCAAGTTTTAGCATTTTTAGTTTGAATTTTGAGCATTTTTAGGTTTTTGTATGTGCACTGAAGCATTCCTCGCATTACATTGATTCCTATGGGAGTCACGTTGACCCGCGAGAGAAGGATTTGTTACATTTTTCAATTTCAAACACAAAACTCCTCAAATCCATTAAAAATCTTTTTGTGTGTGTGTATTCATTGTTCAAGTGCGACAAAAGTCCTAGAGTCTTGAACCCCTCTGATGAACACTCAATTTAAAAAAATTCTAAGTTTCGGGAATGCACTGTGCTAATACCCATAATTCAAATGTGATTCTGTAAATAACCCGTTTCCTCCAGCTCAGTGTAACTGAAGTGTGTGTCGTCTCAGTGCTGGTGTAAGGATACTTCCACTCCACTAAGCTAATGCACGCTCTGCGCACAGGGTTATTGAGAGTCAGGCAGAAGAGAGCTCTGGGAGGTCTGCTATTAGAAGTGCTTCCCTGTTTCTTGCTCTTGGCGTATTGCTGGCGTTTCCTCTGGGCCAGAGAGCTGACGGGGCCCGCGCTCGCAGGGGCCGAGGGGTTCAGGGTCTTCGGGACTTCCGGAGACTGTCTCGCGGCGCGGATCGCGGCCTGCCAGGAGAGAGCGGCGGCCTGGGCCGGGGAGTGGCCGCTGGTGATTGACAGCTCTTCGGTCCAGGTGGGAGGAGCTTCACTGGGGACCGGGACTCTGGTGCCACTGGCATAGTTGGCCCCTGAAAAGAGAAAGAAAATTAATGGTCGTACCGGAGGAACCTTTTCACAGTTCCTAGAAGAACTATTGGCGGAAGTTCCCGGATATTGGCGTGTTCACACCGCAGGAACTAGGAACGATTGTAGTTCCCTTAATGTTTTGTCTGAAGCCCCTTGACTTCACCACTAGATGGCGTTATTTCAACCCAGATTAATTCTCCTTTGTTAAATGGTTGTAATGCCCTCCCCTGTGTTGAATAGGCTTTATGCCCAGCTTCACTACTTCCTGAACTTCAGCCAGCTCCTTTGTTTCCTGTCCGCCATTATTGGACAAACTGATTAATCCAGGTGTGCCTGGCCTCAGTAACAATAATCAGGCTGGATTAATCAGTTTGTCCAATAATGGCAGACAGGAAACAAAGGAGCTGGCTGAAGTTCAGGAAGTAGTGAAGCTGTGGCATAAAGCCAATTAGCCTGGTCCCACCAGACTCTCGTACATTTCATTTGTACAGAGAGTCTGGCCTCGCTCCATTGACGAGCGTTAACCTCCTTGTAGGCGGGTCCTCTGTTGAAGTCTAAGACCTCGTTTACACTGTCAGTGAAATGTGACCCAATTCCGATTTTTTACTCGTATGCGACACCGATCGAATGTGTTCTATGACAGTGTAAACAGGAAAAAAACGCATGCATTCGGATATTTCGAGATCGGTTTCAGGCCTCGTTCATATGTGGAAATAAATCAGATGTAAATCGGATATGTGCCAATGCAACTGTCATGTAAACAGGCAGATCGGATTTTCCGAGGCATTACGTCTCCGGTTTAATGACGAGAGCAACCCAGACGCGCCTCTGCGGATGGACGGATGGCCCGATGAAACAGTGTGTCGTCGTAGGAGAGGAGTGTGGACACACGTTGACACAACATATCAAAGGTTGGCTTGCTCATCCTAAAATTTCGGACCCACTGCTCCTCGTTAAAGCCCGCCACGATCTCATGAAAGTGCGTTTATTGCACGATTTTTTTTTCACGTGGCATTTACGCCAAAAATTGTTTTTGCGTTCATGATACGCACTTTATGGCGTTTAATACGCACGTTTACAGTGCGTATCATATGCAAGCAAAAACTATTTTTGCCGTATAAATGGCATGAGAAATAACATTTGTGCTATAGATACTCACTTTTATGAGATCGTGTTGTATGTTCCCACCTGTCCTGAGATCTCGCTGCGCGTTCGTCCATCTGAGCAAGAAGACCCCTTTGAACATGCGCGATGTTTCAGTCAAGTGTAAACCCATGACTCGGATATGGGTCACAATTTAAAGAACGTGTAAACGGACGGAAAAAAAAAATCGGATATAGGCAACAAATCAGAATTGGGCATCAAGACCTGCAGTGTAAACGAGGCCTAAACACTATTAGATCTGCCCAGAGTCACTCTGGATCTGCCACAAGCAATCGCTAACATTTGGTCGTGACGTATGACGACTCAAACTAGCGCACCTCAACGTCATCGTTCTCAGCCACTCCCTCTGTTCGCTTATTGGCCCGGTAAAAAATTTACCGGAGAAAACCAAAGAATACACCACAATCCCAGACGTATACTGAAGGAAAATGAAAATTGAGCGATAGTACGTAGGAGGGCGGAGCCAGGCTAGAGTTGGATTACTCCTAATGACAAACCCTATTTAAGGCCCCACTGCCGTTTGTTGTTGTTCAGTCCTGATGTTGGTCTAAGCGTTGTCCTTCTCAGGGATTGTTGGGTCTGAGATTTTTCCTGCCTTCTGGTTTTGTACTTATCTTACTTTGTAAGATGTATATCTTTCTGGACTCATATTTAAGGAGATCTCTTCTGTTTTGGATGACCCTTTTTGTATTGCCTCCCAAGGGGAGTTGTTTGAGTTACCCTGAGACACATTCATCTAAAGCAGGGGTGTCCAAACTCGGTCCTGGAGGGCCACTGTCCTGCAGAGTTTAGCTCCAACCCCAATTAAACGCACCTGAAACAGCAAATCAAGGTCTTGATTAGCTGTTGAAGGTCATTAGGCATGCTAAAAACTTGCTAACAGGTGTGTTGAGGCAAGTTGGAACTAAACTCTGCAGGACAGTGGCCCTCCAGGGCCGAGTTTGGACACCCCTGATCTAAAGTGTTGCCTAAGACTGTTGCTAATGTTTTGCTTTTCCCTCTGAAGTAAAGAGCCAAAGATAAAACTCAGACTTTTGAGATCTCATTGTATTCAAATTCCTCTGCACTTGGGTTCAACCTCCTCCGTGGTGGAGTGGTCAGCATCAAGGACACACACATCGGAGACCCGAGATCGATCCCCAGCTGGATCATAACAGTTCTACTCCTACTTCAGAGTCGGGTCTAAACTACCAGTGACGTAAGTGAGCACTGATTGGCTTAAAGTTAAAGTAGGGGTACAATGGTGTTTCATGTATTCAGAGTTGTTTACAGTGTTAAAGAGATGGATTCTCATGCTAAACATAGCCAAAGTTTAAAAATATATATATATTTTGGACGAATAACGGAGAATTTCTGTGCCGAAAATCTTACTTCCGGGTTGGTACAAGTTTCGGCTGGTTTTTTTTCGATCGTGGATCTAATGACGTAGACGAGAGTGGAACTGCTTATATGAGCATTTCTCTCGGAAAAGCGCGCCCGCGCACACGTCGCCCAGAGGAGAGCGCGCCCGCGCACACCAACAGGAAATCATCGGCAGCGCTGCATAGGATTTGTTCAAGAATGTCTTTAAATACATTCGTTTAGCTGGCCACTGTAGGTGTCTGTTTGTTTATTGTAAAACCAAATCATGTCCTCATAAACCACGAGTAAACACACACAAATGTTGTCAGTTATAACTCGCGCATGACTTGTTGTGCTAAAAACACTGCGCTCAAGTTCAAATCATTTCTACTTTTAAAAAACTTAGTCGGCATCAAATCCCACATGTACACCTTTAAAGAAAAAAAAATACGACGACATAAAGTGAAAATGAGTAATTTACAAAAACCCGGAAAATAGCAATGGTGAAAAACTGTTTAACGGTCTAACTCCACAATTCAGTACTTCACAGTTCACAGTCTTGTAATATGTTTTAGCAATACATTTCTAACATTTATAATGTGTTTAGAATTTTTAGAACATTTATAATGTGTTTAGAACCACAATAATGTGGTTTATAAAATTGCCTTTACAGGGACTTTAAGTTAAAAGTTTTCTGTTTTCTGTTAAAACGGTGTTGTGTAAGCAGCCCCTAAGTTAATAACTAATGATCTTTGCAACAGAAGTGAATCAATCAAAACTAACATTAACTGGACAATAACTTTATTCTAGAGCTGTTTAAAGCCAAAACAATCTGTTACTGTAATTTCCTATTATCACTGTAAAGCTGCTTTGAAACAATCTATATTGTTAATAGCCCTATGTAAAACTAATTTTCTGCCACACCAGCCAAATATTTTTTTTTTACCAGCCATGAAAATATGGTAATGCCACCAAACTTTTAGATACAAGTAAAAATGTTCCCCTTGTAGTGGCTACTTGGACAGACAAGAAAGTGTTTTCATCTTCTGTCTATCTGATTCAAATCACAGTCTGCTAATTCAGTGGTAAGAATTTAATTGTTGTTTTATTTATATCTTATCCTGTTAACTGTCACCCCCCTTTTTTTTGCAGACATAAAAATCACTATCCAAACTTAAATGGTTGTAATTCAGGAATGCTTTGGAATATAGACCTATGGCTGGTCTTGTTTTAAAGAAGACATTTTCCAGATTATTGTAGAAGTCTAGAAATTATAAGAAATGAAACAGAAAAAAGTTACATAAGTTTGAGTTTATGAAATTGTGTAATGTAAAAATATAATTATTAATATTTTATATAAAATATATATATTACAAAATATATTTTACTCTAAAACTGCAGGAAAATTAAAGACAAAAATCTGAACAAGTTGTATTCCAAATTTTAGGTTGATATCTCAAAAAATGAGCTTTCAGTAAGATTTTATTCGGGCGCAGTACCCAACTTTTTTACTGGAGACTTTTTTATAGGCTGGGAGTTTTTAAAAGCCTCAGGAATCTTTTGCAGGTGTTTAGAGTTAATTAGTTGATTCAGATGATTAGATTAATAGCTCGTTTAGAGACCCTTTTCATGATATGCTAATTTATTGATTTTTTGAGGAATTTGGGGTTTTCATGAGATGTATGCCAAAATCATCAGTATTTGTCACGTTTCATGGATCCACTGTCTCATTCTGATATGTTGTGTGTGTGTGTATGTGTGTCTGTGTGGGCGTGGTTACTAATTCCCGGTTGATTGTGTGCACCAGCTGCAAGCCCTTACCAGTTGCTTTATATGCCCAGTAATTCCCATCTCACATTGTCAGATCGTTGTGGCTTTCCCGGTGTCGTGTTCCTGTTCCTGTGTGGTCTTCGCTTCTCCTCGTGTGTTCCAGTCTTCGTGGGTCTTCGTCGTTGTCCCCGGTCTGGATTGTTTATTGTTCCTGGTTGATCACTCCGTCTTCATCTCCACGAGACTCCGGTTTGCCCATCGACGTCCCTGTTGTCACAGTTCCATCTGAGTGTTTGTCCCCGACCTGTGTTTTCCTGTGACTTGTCTGACCAACTAATAAACTAACTTTTACTTGCAATTGTATCCGATTCGTTCGTCATAGAACGATCTGACCAGACATGGATGCAGCAAGTTCGGCCAGTTTGAGCGAGTTCATCGCACACAGCGTGACGAGAATGGATCAACAAGGAGAAGAGATCGCGAACACAGGTCGCGCGGTTCAAGCACTCGTGACACAGGTGTCCGAGCTCACCCAACAGCTTCAACATCTACGCGCGCCCACTGCGCCGCCCACGCCGCCCGTTCCCCCCCCACCGCCCCAGCCAGAGAATCAACCTGAACCTCGCCTGCCTACGCCGGAGGGATATTCAGGTGAGCCCGAATACTGTAGGGCTTTTCTCACGAGATGTTCCATGCATTTCGCATTGCAGCCACGGACTTTTCACAG